TGGGGAAGCTATCGAGAATCTTGCGAATCTCCGCCATCTCCGCCGGCGTGATGGTGACCTTGAGGCTGCCGAGGTTCTCCTTGAGCCGCTCGACGCGCGTCGTGCCCGGGATGGCGAGGATGCCGTCCCACTGCGCGTGCACCCAGGCGATCGCCAGCTGCGCGGGGGTCACGCCCTTCTGCTTGGCGAGCTTGGCGAGCTCCTCGACGAGCTCGACCTGCCGTCACACACAACACCCAGGGCGTCAGCACCGTACCGTAGCATATCCCTGCGTCACACAGAGAGATGGGGCAGAGGAGCAAGACGCACGTTCTTAGGGAAGTTCTCCTCGCTGAACCGCGGGTGCTTCCACCGGTTGTCCGCGGGCGTCAGGTCCGCCCGGCTCTTCACGCTCCCGCTGATGAGCCCGCGCCCGAGCGGCGAGTACGCAACGAAGGCGATGCCGAGCTCCTTGCACGCGTCGAACAGACCGTTGGTCTCCGGGCCTGTCTCCCACAACTACGGGCGCGGCATCACCCCGCTGTCAATAGCGTACCAAGAACGCGCTGGGGGGAGCGGGGCACGCACGGAATACTCGATCTGCACCGCGGCGATCTTGACCACCTTATTCGCCCGGCGCAGGGTGTCGGCAGAGCACTCGGAGATGCCGACATAGCGGATCTTGCCCGCCTCCTGCAGCTCCTTCAGCGCGCCCATCGTCTCCTCGATCGGGGTGTTCTTGTCCACGCGCTGCAACGTCAGTTAGCTACCATCGCCCGAGCGAGGGAGGGTGATAGGGTGCACGCACGTGCTGGTAGTACAGCTGTCGGGCAAGTTAGTAGAGGCGCTGGGTGCACGGGGGAGAAGTGGGAGAGGGCGCACGTCAATGTAGTCCGTGCCCAGGGCCTTGAGCGAGCGCTCGCACGCCGCCTTGACGTACTCGGGCTTGCCGTTGATGACGCGGGAGCCGTCCTCGTTCTGCCAGTTGCCGAACTTGGTCGCTACACGGGCGGGGCAGGGTCAGCCCCTGTGTAGGGAGAAGGCGGGTGGGACGCACCGAGGAAGATGTCCTTGCGCGGGATGTTGCACTCCTTCAGGGCCTGGCCGATGAGCTCCTCGTTCTCCCACATGCGCTTATCGCCGTAGATGCTGGCCGTGCATCAGCCGCGCCTCGGGTCAGCCAGAAACGCGCACTCACTCGGCCGTGTCCCAGAAACGGCAGCCGAGCTCCCAGGCAGCCTTGAGCGTGGCGATGTTGCGCTCCGTGTCGCCCCAGCCGGCATACCACCCGCTCATGCCCATCGCGCCCAGGCCGGGGATGGGCACGTCGTCCGATCCGATCTTGCGCGTGGGGAGGGCCATCGCTTACTGTGCTCTTGACTGTTGGGCACGGGGAGGGGGCAGTGGAGGCGGGTAGGAACGCAGGAACGCAGGATGAGGCTTAAGCCCGACTGCATGCTGGCTTTATACCCCGCGCGCCCCGCAATCTCGTCGGGCGTCGGCGTTGCGCCGCGCCCCGGGCGGGCGGGTGGAGGAGCAAAGGGCCTTGCCACGTGGCGTGTCCATCTCGCCCGTCAGCGCCCTCTCCACTGCGCCGAATAGGGACAGCGTGGGCAGGATATCCCCGGCGGTACAGCAGGACAGTCACCTGATTGGTATGAACATGAACCTTGGCTGTTGTCGGAGGCCGGGCGCATATAAGAGGACGGCGGTCGATGGAATGAATGGTGGCTGGTGGCACCGCCCCGCGCGGCGGGTGCCCTCCTGCCCCCCTGCCCCGGCGCGTGCGTCTGTGCGCGGCTCGGCGTGGTGGGCGGGCCTTGGCCAGCCCGCCTTCAGTCCGTCCGCTCATTTGCCCGTCACTGAATCCATTCCCCCCTCGACCTCGACCTTTCTTTCCCTCTTTTGGACTCACAGCCTCGACAGACCACAGTCCCCGTGGAGCCACCGACCATACCCGCTTGATGCACGCCCGGCCGTAGCCGCGCCCTATGTTCCCACCATGCCTCCTCACCGCGCTCGCCCTCCTCCTCCTCACAGCACACGCCACCCCCACAATCCACGTGCACCGCCGCGAGCTGCACGTCCCCCTCGCCCACCTCCACTCCGCCCGCTACTCCCCTGACCCCGCAGCACAAGCCGCATGGGCCCGCTCAGCCGCCGACCGCCTCCTCGCAAAGTACGCAGTCCCCGCACCGGCGCTCGCCAAACGCCGCACAACCAACGTCTCCCTCATCAACGCAAACCACGACGGGTCGTACTACGGCCTCCTGGGGCTCGGCACACCCCCAGCACCCCTCAACGTCCTCCTCGACACCGGCAGCGCCGACTTCTGGGTCGCCGGCACCGGGTGCAGCCTTGCTGGCAGCGGGTGCGGCGGCTTACCGCTCTGGGACCCGAAGAGGAGCGGGACGTACGAGAACGCCAGTGTGCCGTTCAGCGTCGGGTACGGGAGCGGGCACGCGAGCGGTGTGCTGGGCTGGGATACGGTCCAGTTCGGCGGGTTCGAGGTGGTGCACCAGGCTATCGGTACGTCCCTCCCCACTTCGCCCCGGGAAGCCGCTGACCCGTCCCAGCGCTCTGCGACCACGTCTCCCCCGGGCTGCTCACGAACCCCATCTCGGGCCTGCTCGGCCTCGCCTTCCAGCAGCTCTCCGCCTCCGGCGCCACGCCGTTCTGGGAGACGCTCGTCCGCGCCGGCGAGTGGGACACGCCGCTCATGGCCTTCTTCCTCACGCGCTTCCTGAACTCCTCCGCGCTGGGCACGCAGCAGCCGGGCGGGTCCGTCACCCTCGGCACGTTGGACGACACGCTGTACTCGGGCGAGGTGGACTACGCGCCCATCCCCGCCGGGCGGCAGGGGTACTGGCTGCTCGAGCTCGCCAGCGTCGCCGTCGGCGCGAACAGCATCCCGCTCAGCGCGAGCAACGCCTTGAACGCCGCCGTCATCGACACTGGGACCACGCTCCTCCTAGCGCCCGCGAGCGCGATCCAGGCCGTCTTCGCGCTCATCCCGGGCTCGCAGCCCGCCACGGGCGACTACGCGGGGTACTACCAGTACCCGTGTTCGTCCAACGCCACGCTCACGCTCTCCTTCTCCGGCGCCAGCCGCGCATGGACGATCAGCGCGGCGGACTTCCAGCTGCTCAAGCTCGCCAACACCGCCGACAGCTGCATCGCCGCGCTGTACCAGTCCAACCTGGGCCAGACCGCCCCGCAGTGGGTCGTCGGCGACACCTTCCTCAAGAACGTCTACAGCGTCTTCCGCTACGACCCGCCCAGCGTCGGCTTTGCCCAGTTGAGCGCAAAGGCCAGCGGGCTCAGCGTGCCCGGGATGCTCCCGAACGTCAGTGTCCAGCCGCCCCAGGCGACGGTGACGGCTCCCGCTGAGCAGCTCTCGGGCGCGCGGGGGCTCGCTCCCTTCCGTCCGGGAATGAGCTGGGAACCCGCTCTCTTGCCCCTGCTGCTGATTCTTGCCCATCAGACAATAGCACTGCTCTGACGGACCGGCTTCCTATCCACAGACACTACACCGCATTAATGACCCCTCCCTCCCCTTCATGTGCCCCTTCCTGCTTTGCCACCCCTTGATTTTCTCCACTCGCACGCACCGCACACTCGCACATCCGCATTGTATATCAACTCGCACTTAGCACTTTGCACTTTGCACGCAACCCATCCATAACATAACACATAACAAGGAATCATTGACCTGCGTTGAGATCCTCGGACGTGTTCGACGCGCCTTTGGACTCAGCAAGCTGGGACCGGGGGTGTCGCACCGACGACGCTGTGCAGCGCGGTTTGCGGGCTCCAAGAAAGGCGTCAATTCCACTTCCAATGTCGCTTCCAATGTCGCTTCCAATGTCGCTTCCAATGTCGCCGTGAATGACGTTTCAACAACGATGCCAACGGCGTTTTCAGGGCTGTTTCAACGACGACCACAATGCCGTTCTAACCACGCTTCCAATCTCAGTTGCGGTCACAGCTCAATGGCGGGGTCGATGACGGCTTTGACGGCGGTTTCCAGCGACGCGTCTAACCAAGGTCTCGCAGACGGTTTCGACACCGATTCCGAGGACGAGTTCAGAAGGTTCCAATAACAGTTAACACATCCGACGATGGTTCCAAGCACCGTCCAATGGTGATCGCGGCCAACGTACCGACAATCGCCACAATGCGCTATCGGCTTTCAGAAGGGTGCAGGAGTAATAGCCTTCGCCTGTCTCCTCACGTTTCTGCTCGTAGACGCCCCCCCCCCCCCCCCCCCCCCCCCCCCCCCTCCCGGGGGTTCATCATACATTACTTAACATCGTGCGCTTGGTACTTGAGAATGAGTAAACACCAATTGTTTTCTCTGACTTCTGGCCGCGGTGTGGTTGTTTGTGATCCCATTCTTACTAGGTGAGAAGAACGCATGACACACGTCAGTATGTATTGTGCTTCGGGACTGTAACGTTTGCGAAGCGCTACAACGGCGGCTAGTGACGCCCCGACGGTCAGAGAGACCTGGAATGTCCTAGTTGTGTCGATGGCGGTGACAACTGCGGTTTCAAGGCCAATCGCAACGATGGTTTTGGCTGGCTCAAGGACGGTTTCGAATACGGGGCAGAGGTCCGTTCCAATGACAGCTCCTACCCACGACATTGCCGACGACGGGTTTTATGTTCATTTCCTACGATGGTTTAATGACAATTCCAACGGCAGCTCCCACGTAGGCTTACAAGAACGGTTCCAATGGCGGCTTCGTGGACCGTACCTTGGGCGTTCCAATGAAGACGGTCTTCAATCACAGCTCCAATGATGATTGCTCCGTTCCTGGAGGTGAGGTGGGCCAAGTGACTGCGGTTGACGTGTTCCGTTTAGTTTCGGCTGCTCTCGTCAAGGAGATCAGTTTGCGCGAACGAAGGATGCCGGTGTCCCTTTCGTATTTTGCAGGAAGTCAATGGGCCCAAGTCATTCCGGTCAGGTACCTAGTGCAATTGGGTCACAACCCCAAGGGAAGTGCCCCAAATGTTTGAGGTCGAGTGGCGCAATTGGTTAGCGCGTCGAGCTAATAGAACTCGGGTCACTCTGGGATTCGAGCCAAAAACTCGAAGGCTGTGGGTTCGAGACCCATCTTGACCAAACTATCCTTTTTGTGCGTGTTTTGGGTGAGAAATGAGCGAGGAAACAGGTCCTACAGATGAGGAGAGGTTGCAGTGCTTGTTTCCCAGAAGGGGGCTCCACAGAGCTCAAGGGCCCTTTAAGGCATTATGGAATGGGTTCTTTACACATGCTTTCGTCTCCCGATCAATTGGACATCAAAAGCAACGTACATGTGAGGAAGAATCGGTCGAAAGAGTCGAGTTTCCGTCGCTATCGGGGCTCACGGGCCCATCGAGGAAGGACCAGATTTCAACATCGCTAGCAACTTAGGTACGGGACCCTGGCGACGTTCTGAAGAGCCCCAATACACTGTGTCTTTATGCCCATAGCAGAGTAAGAGCTGTTTGAAATTTCGTTACGGAAACTCGAGGTTGGGCCGTCCAATCAGAAGCTCGAGTGTAACCCTCGGCGTAGACATTGCCTCCATGGAGAATTACTGCTTCCGGGTTTACCTAACTTTTCAAGCTCCGACTTCGGATGCCGGGTAAGAGGCTCGGCGGTCACGCTGTCCACCGCCATTTAAGCCAGCGATCCTCTCACCATGCGTCAATTTCGCGGTGCTGGTTGAGAAGCGTACAGAACGGCACTCGCTTCTTCCCAATACTGCTCGCTACCGAACTACCGAGGGTTTAACGTGGCAATGCGGAAGGATCAGATATTCCCATCTTTGGAGCACGCGGATACCCGTATTCTCTGGATATGGGAATAACCATCCCGCCACGGATCTGATGGGCCAGAACGTGTGTCTCTCGTCTCGCATTCATTACGTTTCCGCAAGCCGCCATGTCCCAAATCGTCCCATTGCACCGGGGCTCATATCCTTGATTGCAGTCGGTGTCGTGTGCTACGCAATTCTCACCTTGGTCAACACAATCACAATCCAGCGCAACACCGTTACAAATTGACATCTGGATGGATAGCACTCGCTCTGAGGTACGGTAGTCTGTAAAGATATATGTAGCTCAGCTGACGAATCGTATAGGTTGAGTCATACGCTGTGAGATTTGAGCGGTTGACGCAGGAGCTCAGGCGTCTGAAGAAGGTTTGTTAAGCGCATTCGCATCTCAATTCATCTCAATCAGAGATCCAGATTGGTACTGCGCATAGGCGTACTCTCGTCGAAGATCAGGAAACGTTGAAATCAGTTGAACGGGAGCGAGAGTAAGTTTACCAGTTGGATTCGCGGAGCTTGCTCATTGTTTGCAGCTATCTGCTCGACATCTTGCACAAATATTCCGATCTCATTCCAAATGTCCAGAGCCAGATCCACAGCGCGATATCCCCTCTGGCATCTGATATGCCGCATATAATGCCAGAGCTTGGTCAAGATATGCACAGTCCGCCTATATCGCCGCCTATATCGCCTTTGCTGTCAAGTCCATCGCTGCCGACTCCGACCAACTCCTTGTCGGTTATCCCGGAACAGCTGAAAAGCATTCCACAACCACGGCGATACTTCATACCCACGCCGCAGCAAATGCAGCCGCAGTCGATTCCGCCGCAAAAAAGGCGCACTACTGTCGCTGCACCGATCGATATCGCTGGACCTTCATCAGCCGGTCCATCCAACGGCATCATGTCTTCATTTGGTCGTAGAAAGCGTCATACACCTCCAATGAGCGAAGAGTTTGAGGAGTCTCGTCCTTTGAAACGAGTGCCTTACCCAGAGGAGGAACGAAATACGCGACGCATGCCAAGCGACAGGGTACAGCGGGATGAGCATCGATCGTCACAGCATCAACTGGTCTTCCGACCATATGTTCCTCCTCCGACCGAGCGATCTCAATCTAGTCGAACAGCATTTAGTCCTCCACCGCTGCCGCCTGGTCCTTTACCGGTCCGATCTGTGCCACTGGGTCCTACGCGGCAGTATATGCAGCCGGGAATGCGTACACTACGAGCGTCCGGCAGCCTCGGACTGATACAAGACTTTCCCGCATCTATGCCCACAAATCCTCCACCCGGTGTCAAGGAATACAGCGTGGTTAGTTCAACTGTCGGTTGTTCGCCGATATCGCTCTGACATCGGACACGCATAGCCCAACTTCGGTGACCGTACACCGTCGTTTCCGATGCAACCGAGCCATCACTACCCTCTGGCATCGATGCCGCCCACATACACCGGACCTGAATCCCCCATTCACGCGCGACATTCGTATGCCGGACCTTACGACGGCAGCCTACTGTCCGACGAAGCGCATCGTCCGTCCTCTCCCGAATACGTGTATCCCGAGCCGGGTAGAAACTTGTAGCACGTCGTTTTTGCCTTGTCCTCCACGCCATTACCATTGTATGCTTGATTACACCAACCTGGCACGATTTGGGTTCTACCTTCGGTTTATCAATGAAATTAAGTACGTCTCCCGTTCTCAGTCCTAACGCATAATCTTAACAATAATTTAGAACGACGACATCTGTCTTCGTACATCAGATCCACACTCAGACCTGTAGCAATCAACATTGCGATGATCCGGCTCGCGCTGTTCGTATCCGATATATGCGTTGTTCCAATGGCCATTCAACGGTGCAGGGTGCCATGGACGAGGGCACGGATCACTGTGCAACTTTTGCCGCTGGATCATCGCCATAGACCCTCCGAAAGTGACGCAAATCAAGGCATGCTCGTAATCGGAGGAACCCACCGTCGTATAGAGCGGAAGTATGCTCTCTCATGAGGAGCGGCTCCACAAGGCGGCAAGCGTGTGCTTCTTATCTAGAGTACGACTACCAAGATAATTGGGGCCAACCGGTGGTATAAGATCACGGCGTTCTTTCCCAGCCTACATGGAGTCGTCGAATTTGGTATAGACGCCGATTTCATCGCCCATCCGAAAGTCCCCATCTTTCTTGGCGGCGTCAGTATCAGTGCAGTCTCAGGAAAGGTCACAGGCAACGACTAAGCTCCAAACCGCACATATATCGATGCATCCGATCTGGACTGCAAATTTGGCAATCGCGACAATGACTCCATCACGGCGCTGCTGCGGAGGGGCAACCTCCGCCCTCCGCCCACCACCCACTGTGGAGGGATCGCCCTCGTATGACCCTCCATGGCCCACCATCTGCCGAACCACGCTCAACAGAGACGTGGTCATCTATGAAGTAACAGCCAGCCTCATGAACGAAACGGGCAATCGGACTGTGTTGGCTTGGGCACTACGTTTCTGGGACGGCAGAAGATCTCTTCAGACGAGATGACCCGCAGTCAGAACCTAGACGTCGAGAGTAAAGGTGCAAGCCCAGAATGTCTCTGGCTGTTATGCGGGCTCATGGGCCGAAATTTCGGTCTCTTTCAAGGATCGCAAGATTCTGGATTGATTCCAGATGCAGTCTAATAATGGACCGACTGGGAAGTAGGCCTCTGTATTGTTGACGGTCAATACCTACGTACCTTCAGTGACCAGTATTATGCCAAACGGAGATTCCTGCACAAGACGCGGATGCATCCATCTCGACATGGCCAAAGAATGTTGCTGTGACTGAGAGACATCTTCTTCTCCGTCATTGTGTGCCCCATGCCCTGCGGCTTGACCTCATGACCCGTGCGGCCGCACGCCACCAGCCAACGTCACACTCAGCACAGTCATTGACGCGGGGTGATTGACAGCGCGGAAGGAGAAGTTATCTCGCACTCCAAGCTATCCCGGCGCCATCCAGGCTAGAACCAACGCTGCAGGCTGGGCTCAGCCGGACAAGGGGCGAATAACGACTGCAAGGGGTTCAAGGTGTGGAAGAATTGATCCCGGCTTGCGTATCAATGTCGCTCTTGGCTGTCACCTGGCTGGAGCCGTGAGTGGATCTGGTGATATGTCCAACAACCTGGTGCAGCAGTTCTGCAAAGGGCTCTGCAGAACCACGCCATCCGCAAACCATCTCGGTGTTTGGTGGGGCCGGTGATGTCCAAAGCTGTACGAAGTTGTTCCCTGCAGTTGCGTCACAACTGTCGGTCGATAGGGTATAAAGCCACCCCCGCTCCTGCGCACCTCCCTCTAGACTATCGCTGGGGTGCAATTGAACTCTTCCACTCTTGATCATCCTGACTGGTACCTTTCAACATGCCGTACACTCCACCTGGCCTCGTATCCATTCTCAAGTCCTACCCAAACCATCCCGCGTACTTTGACAACCTCGTCGATCTAGACGCGTACTTGGCCGATCTCCCGAAGCCAATTCCCCCTCCTGGCCATCCGCTCCGATCCAGGACTGTGCCTCGCAACAAGGGGAAGCTATGCGTCTGCCACGATATGGCTGGAGGATACCCAGACGACGCGCATAACCCGATGTGGACTTTCCAGTGGTGGGCACTAGCCGACACGTTCATCTAGTACGTCCAAGTTTATCCTTTCATACTAAATTCTCATATGCTTGGTAGCTTTTCACATCACCGAGTCTCGCCTCCGCCGAGGGAGTGGATCAATGCTGGCCATCGACAGGGCAGTAAGGTTCTGGGCACTCTGTAAGGTCCACAAACTCCTTTATTGATTCAGGGCGCTGATTGGTCCAAAGCATCTTGGAATCGACCACCGACCGATATCGTATTCTCACCGGAACAGACACAGCGTCCATCAGCGAAGAGACCAATAGCATTTCAAAGAAGTATGCCGACTCTCTGATCGATCTCTGCGAACTGCGCGGATTTGATGGCTATCTCCTCAACTTCGAGGTGCCTTACGAGAACGCGAAGAACGCCCGCCTCCTTGGTGCCTGGGTCGCATATCTCAGGTCGGAGTCTGCTCGTCGCTTGGGCCCTGATCGCTCCGTAATTATGTGGTACGACTCAGTCACTGTGGACGGATCTCTCTCGTGGCAGAACACCTTGAACCAGCGAAATTCGGCATTCTTCATCGGTTCGAACTCATTCTTCACCAACTACAACTATGGCAATTCTACCATACCTGCTGCGAAGAACTTCCTCGAGAACCTTGTCGGAGATACCCGACCGGCATCGGACGTCTCATGGGGCATCGACATGTGGGGAA